GGGGAGGGATCCCAGGGGGTGGTCCCGGTATTGGGGGGTGGTCAAGGGGGGGTCCGGGGGTCCCGGGGGGTGGTCCTGGTGCCGGGGGGGGTCGCAGTGATGGGGAGGGGTCCGAGGGCGATCCCAGGGGTCCCGGGGGGGTCCTGGTCCTGGGGGGTGGTCCTGGTCCTGTCGGGGGGGTCGCAGTGATGGGGAGGGGTCCGGGCGTTGCTCCGGGGGTCCCCCTGTCCCGGGGGGGTCCCGGGGGGGTCCCGGGGGGGTCCCGGGGGTCTCATCTGGGCTCCATCCTCAGCTGGTATCGGGGGGGATGTTCCCGAAGCCGCTCTGCAGGGGGGTCGTGGGCACCTCCTCGGGGGGTCCCAGGGGTCGCGGCCGCAGCCGCTGCAGCAGCGTCGTGAGGAAGAGGAAGAGCTCGGTCCGGGCCAGGCCCTCCCCCAGGCACACCCGCTTCCCTGGGGGGCAACAGAGACCCTTTAGGGACCCCCAGACCCATTTTGGGACCCCCCCAAAACCTTTAGAGACCCCCCAGACCCTTTAGGGAACTTTAAAACCTTTAGGGACCCCCCAAACCCTTTTAGGGGCTCTCAGAGCCTTTGGAATCCCCCCAGACCCCTTGGGGACCCCCAAACCACTTGGGACCCCTCCAGACCCCTTTAGGATCCCCCAAACCCTTTAGGGACCCCCAGTTGCTTTAGGATCCTCCAAACTCTTTTAGGAACCCCCAGACCCCTTTAGGGACCCCCAGACCCTTTAGGGAGCCCCCAAACCCTTTAGGGACCCCCAGGCCCTCCCCCAGGCACACCCGCTTCCCTGGGGGGGCAAAGGAGACCCTTTAGGGACCCCCAGACCCATTTTGGGACCCCCAGACCCATTAGGATCCCCCAGACCCCTTTGGGAACCCCCAAAACTTTTAGGGACCCCCAGACCCCTTTAGGAACCCCCAGACCCTTTTGGGACTCCCTCGATCATTTTGGATCCCCCCAGACCCTTCAGAGACTCCCAGACCCCCCCAGAACCTTTTGGGACCCCCAAAACCTTTTAGAATCCTTCAGACCCCTTTAGGGACCCCAAAACTCTCTGAGGACCCCCAAACCCCCTTTAGGGACCCCCCAGGACCCCCCAGACCCATTTTGGGACCCCCAGGCCCTCCCCCAGGTACACCCGCTTCCCTGGGGGGGCAAAGGAGACCCTTTAGAGACCCCCCAGACCCCTTTAGGGACCCCCAGACCCCTGTGGGACCCCCCAAACCCTTTAGGGACCCTCAGACCCTTTTCAAACCTCCCAGACCCTTTAGGGACCCCCCCAAACCTTTTAGGGACCCCTCAGACCCCTTTAGGACCCCCAGACCCTTTTGGGACCCCCCAAACCACTTGGGACCCCTCCAGACCCTTTTGGGACCCCCAAAAGTTTTAGGGACCCCCAGACCCTTTAGGGACCCCCCAGACTCTTTTAGGATCCCCCAGACTCTTTTAGGGCCCCCCAGACCCTTTTAAGATCCCCCAGACCCTTTTAAGATCCCCCAGACCCTTTAGGGACCCCCCAAACCCTTTTAGGATCCCCCAGACTCTTTTAGGATCCCCCAGACCCTTTAGGGACCCCCCCAAAACCTTTTGGGACCCTCAGACCCCTTTAGGGACCCCCCAGACCCTTTAGATCCTAAAAAGGGTCTGGGAGGTCCCAAAATGGGTCGGGGGTCCCAAAATGATCTGTGGGATCCTAAAGGGTCTGGGAGGGTCCCAAAGGGTTTTGGGGTCCCTAAAAGATTTTGGGGAATCCCAAAGGGGTTTGGGGGTCCCAAAGGGGTTCTGGGGGGTCCCTAAAAGGGTTTTGGGGTCCCAAAGGGGTTCGGGGGGTCCCTAAAAGGTTTTAGGAGGTCCCAAAAGGGTCTGGGGGTCCCTAAAAGGGTCTGAGGATCCTAAAAGGTTTTGGGGGTTCCCAAAGGGTTTTGGGGTCCCCAAAGGGGTTTGGGGGATCCCAAAGGGTTTTGGGGTCCCAAAGGGGTCCGGGGGGTCCCAAAGAGTTTTGAGGTCCCCAAAGGGATCTGGGGGGTCCCGAAAGGGTTTTGGGGTCCCTAAAGGTGCCTGGGGGGGTCCCAAAGGGTTTTGGGGTTCCCAAAGGGGTCTGGGGGGTCCCTGAAAGGGTTTTGGGGTCCCCAAAGGGGTCCGGGGGGTCCCTGGAAGGTTTTGGGGTCCCCAATTACCGGCGGAGAAGGGCAGGAAGGCCTCGTTCCTCTGGAATTGCCCCTTCCCGTCCAGGAAATTGCCGGGATCGAACTCGTGCGGCTTCGGGAACATCGACGGGTCGTGGAGAGCAGAGGAGAGCAGGGGGAACACCTCCGTGCCCTGGGGGGCAAAAACGGGGTCAGGGGGGG